CAGTAAGACCCTGACTCAAAAAAAAAAAAAAAAAAAAAAAAGACCAAAAACAAAAAAACAAAATGTATTGAGTAAAAGCAGTACCAACACCACTGCCTGTTCCAGGGCCTGGCACAAAGCCTTGGCTCAAAGAAAATCTGTTGAATACATACTCAGTGATCTGTCACAGAAACGACTGAATACCACATGCTCTCACTCATAAGCGAATCCTGAGCATTTATAATACTTTAAGAAAGTGTTTGGCAGTAGTGGGATGCTTCCAGGGAGGGGGAGGCGCATAACACTAATAAGGTTACCTACCTGATCACAAACCAGGTGAAGTGGGACCAAAGGGAAGGCCCACACTTTACGTGTATGATGATCACCGATCCACCGAATCCTGAATTGTAACTCACATATTTAAAATAACAATAAATAAATAAAAAGAAAATCCGTTGAACAGTTTATTTTGCCGTAACACATTTTTCTTTCTTTTTTTTTTTTCTGAGTTCTGAGTCTCACTCTGTCGCCCAGACTGGAGTGCAGTGGCCGCTCCCGGCCACCGCAGCCTCTACCTGCTGGGCTCCGGCAATCCTTCCGCCTCAGCCTTCCAAGTAGCCGGAATTACAGGCATGCGCTACCACGCCCGGTTGATTTTTTTGATTTATTGTAGAGATGGGGGTCTTGCCAAGTTGCCCAACCAGGTCTCGAACCCGCGGGCTCAGGCAATCCACTCACCTCAGCCTCCCAAAGGTGTGGGATTACAGGCTGAGCCACCGAGCCCGGCTTCCCTCCTTTTTTTTAAAGCAGGATTATTGAGGTTAAAAAACCTCCCACAGTGAGAGAGGACCAGAAGGGTTTACCAAGCTTTCTCCTTTTATCCAGGAGCACTGGGGGCTTATTTCTTTCTTTTTTTTAAAATTTATTTATATATTTATTTCTTTTTACTTTTTACTATTCTTTCAGGGGCTTGTTTCTTTGGTACGTGAGTGTGGCAATGACCAGTTTGTCCTACATGTCACTGGCGGATGTGGATTTCCCCAGCAGGGTAAAAAATGTGGACTCCCCTTGAAACTACTCACAGGGTACATTGAAGTGTTTTGCTGCCTCTGCAGACTGGGACGGAGTCCTGCAGCCCAGTGATCAAGGACCAGGCCTCATTCTTGTACTACAGTTCCCAGAATGCTCCGCGATGCACTCCACATGCTGCTCCTTCCCCCAACTTCCGGTGCAGAGAGGCAACTCAACCTCAAAATTTTACAAAAAAAACCATGATTTTCTTTTTTCTTGCCTACTCCAGCCCCGTTGGATCACATCTGCTGTCATTCAAGATCAGAAGGGTGGTGACGTGTCACCTTATCCAATCAGTGAATGCTAGTTCGGAAGCTGCCCAATCAGAAAGTAGATTAAAATGAGGTGGTGGGCTCCGGTTTCTGACCTGGCCTTTTGTTTTCTGGAACTGCGGAAGTGCCAAATCGTCTCGGAAAGAGCCGTATATCTTGGCTTCTTCCTTTATTGCCCTGTGAAATGCAGTTCCGGGGAGTCAGAAAGGAAGATGCTGGAACACCCAGAAGCCGGGAGATGGTGAGTATGGGTGTGGGTGCGAGAGCGAGACGCAGGATAGACACGGATGACCCGGCTGTGGCCGACCGGCCTCCCCCTCACTTCTGAGCCTGGTCCTGTGCCCGCCGGCGATTCGGCCCTGGTCCCCTTTCCACAGGGAGGTCTGGTTCGGTCCCCAGCGTCCTGTCCCCATGGCGACCTCGCTCTACTGTAGGCTTCTCCAGTATGTCTGTGTGAGACCCAGGAGTTTTGTGGGGGGGTCTGACCCGTGTGGGGGCTCCTGGTGGAAGTGGTTTTGGTCCTTGCCCCATCCCTCTCTCCTCCTAGAAGGTAAACGGAGGCTCCAGCACAGTGTAAAGGGGTTCCCTTGGGCCAACAGCGGATCGTGAATCCCTAAGTCCCAGTCAGGGCTTGTAGTCTGGGGTCTCCGGAGGGCCTGGGGTAAAGGCTTGGAGAAGAGGCAGGGCGAAGCCAGCCACGGGTAGGTTCCAGTGGGGGACAGCCCCACAGTCGCCTGATCTGTAATATCCAGGTCGAAATCCGTAGACCAAGTCATCAGGATTGCTAGGATACTGGACAGAGTGAGGGAAAATGGATGGACCAAGGGGCACAGCACCCCGCAGCTGGCCAGCCGGAGGTGCGCACTGGGAACCCAGAGATCTGAGTAAATGGCAAAGAATTGCAACACATAGAGGTGAGAGAAGAAAAGATTTATTTAAGAAAAGTTCACCACCCAGAGTCCTGGCTTATATCCTTTGCTTGGAGATGTTGCACGTGACTGCTGTGACTTCCTTGTCGACTACCTGTGGATGTTTTAGAGATCCTGTGACACAGACCCATTAATGTCTGTCCATATTATCATAGCCCCGAGAGAAGGGCGTGGCAAGGATTCTAATTCTGTACCTTCCCAAACGATATTTCTTAGAGCTAGTGGAGGGTGCACCCCCCCTTATCTTCTAGGGATTCCCAGTGATTAGCTGCGGAGGATCCTTGGCTTCACTGTAGATAGTGCCCAATTTACTGGAAGATCGAATTCCCACCTGCTCTCCCTCTGAGTGGTATAACTTTTGTAATTACAAGTTTCATGACATTTACAGTCCTTGCCCAATGTATGATGTCGTAGGCCATGTAAATTCCCTTTACTCTAGGCAAGATTGAATGACCCTATGACATACCTGGCACCAGGAGGTCTGTTTCTGAAAAGACAAAGTCAGTAAAGTTAATTTTACCTAAAGTGTGCATTTCTGCAAAAGCATAGCTTCTACTTTCTCATCGTTGTGTCTTGGTTTCAGAACAAGATGAAAAGTGGCTTCCCGCTCTCAGTCTGTCCTTTCAAGGATCATTGGCAGTTTGTCACCAGGTCCAAACCTGGTTTTTCCCTGGTGAGACGGCCAGTCAAGACAAGGAGTTGGAACAGGGACTGTGACTTTATTTAGAGAGGACCATTAGAACCATGAAGATGAGGGGCCAAGAACACTCTTGGGTTTTGTGTAATTTGGGGTTTTTTTTATCCAGGTCAGTGGTGGGGGAGAGAGAGGGGAGAGGATTGCTTGATCCCAGGAATTTGAGGCTAACCTGGACAACATAGCACATCCGTGTAGCTATAAAAGTTGAAACAATTTAGCCAAGAGTGGTGGCAAATGCCTGTAGATTCAGATTCTTGGGAGCCTGAGAAGGAAGAATCTGTTGAGCTCAGGAGGTCAAGATGGTGATAAGCTGTGTGGAGACACTTCATGCCTGCCTGGGTTACGGAGTGATACTCAGACTCATAAAATACATTTAATTTAATTTTAAAAATAAAGGCATGTCTTCAACATGTCGATGTGACTTGTCCAGATAATCTCATCTGACAAGAAATGCTGGAGGAAGTTGTGGCAAAAATGGCTGGTTATCAGGTAACTGTGTTCTAGGTCAGGGGCTGTGTCTCTTCCTACTGGAATGTCATGGTTTTAGAGCATGCAGACATTGACTGATAGACATCTGTTTTCTTATTTTTAAAGTTGGAGCCTCATTCTGTCACTCAAGCTAGAGTGCAGTAGCATCCTCCATATCCCATAGCCTCGACCTGCTGGGCTCAGGTGATCCCTCCACCTCAACCTTTCAAGTAACTGGAAATACCAGCACAGACCACGATGCTCGGCTAACTTTTTCATTTATTGTAGAGATGAGGTCTTGTCAAGTTGTCCAAACTGTTCTTGAACCTCTGGGCTCAGGCAATCAATCCTCTCATCTCTTTCACCCAAAGTTTTGTGATTATGGGCATGAGCCACTATGCCTGGCCTTCATATATATCTTATTCTACTTTAAAAGTGTGTATTCTGGGGGACTCGGTGGCTCTGCAGGTCAAGCAGGTCAAGGCTGTGGTGGCTGGAAGCATGCCACTGCACTCCAGTCTTGGTGACATGGTGAGACTCTAACTAAAAAAAAAAACCCAAAAAAACTGTATTTCCTTGGTTTTTCAGTCTTTATTTATTAAGAAGATCTGGGGTACAATTCAGGGCTATGTATACAAATGTCTACTATGCAGGTACACTTGTTGATGACATATGCCCCACACTCCCCCAGCAGTATTCCACTTTCAGCCTTTTTTTTTTTAAGTCACTATCACATTATTTTACTTTTCAAGTTCTTATTATGGATGATAACATCTTTCAAACTTTTTAGAAATTTCCAATTTAAATATTGTTTGCAAAAAAATTTGTTTTCTTCAGAACAAAAACAGCTGTTTGTATATCAGTATCAAACTCAATTGATAAACTGATTAGAGGATTATTGATCTAATTATACGATGTAATCTTTCTTCCCAATCATTTATTTCCATTATTTTTCATTTATACGGTTTTTCATGTTTCAGAAATATTTTACACTTTTTTATAATTTGATCTTTAAATGTAAAACTTTTTGTAAATTTCACAATATCTTTTAATCTATTATCAAGATGATGTCTTTGTCATCGTTTTTTTTTTTGAGTTGGAATCTCACTGTCGCCCAGCTTGGAATGCGGTGGCAGCTCCTGGCCACCGCAGCCTTGACCTACTGTGCTCCGGCGATCCTTCCACCTCAGCCTTCCAAGTAGCTGGAACTACAGGCCCACGCTACCACACCAGGCTAATTTTTTTTTTTTTTTTTTGGATTTATTGTAGAGATGAGGTCTCGCCAAGTTGCCCAGGCCGGTCTCAAACCCGTGGGCTCAGGCAATCCACTCACCTTAGCCTCCCAAAGGCGCAGGATTACAGGCTGAGTAACCCAGCCCAGCGATCGATTTTTTTTAATGTGACACTGTATTGATGATTCCCAGCTGCTGAATCTCCTAAGCATCCCTGACATAAAGGGAGCTTGATCATGACATAATGTTGCAACATGGTGACTCAATGTGTATACTAATTTTTAAATTTCTATTCAAATGTGATTTTTCTACAAAGAAATGACTTGAAATCCTTAATATGGAATAGAAATTGTGTATTGATATTTTCCTCTTCCAGGGACACTGGATTTCTGTAGTTTTCTCTTATTTTCTATTTATTTTATTTTATATATTTTTTTGAGTTGGAGTCTCACTCTGTCACCCAGACTGGATTGCAGTGGCCGCTCCCAGCCACCGCAGCCTTGACCTGCTGGGTTCCAGAGATCCTTCCGCCTCAGCCTTCCAAAGTAGCTGAAACTACAGGCATGCACTACCACACCCTGCTAATTTTTGATTTATTGTGGAGATGAGGTCTCGCCATGTTACCCAGGTGAGTCTTGAACCTGTGGGCTCAGGCAATCCACTCACTTCAGCCTCTCAAAGCGCGGGATTACAGACTGAGCCTGGCTTTTTCTATTATTTTATTTTAAAATCCCAGAACTTTGGGAGGCCAAGGGGAGTGGATTGCTTGAGGCCTTGGGTTCAAGACCTGCCTGGGAATCTTGGCGAGACCTCATCTCTACAATAAATCAAAAATTAGCCAGGCGTGGTAGTGCACACTTGTAGTTCTGGCTATTTGGAAGGCTGAGACACAAGGATCACTGGAGCCCAGCAGTTCAAGGCTATGGTAGACAGAAGTATGCCACTACTCTCCACTCTGGACAACAGAGAGAAACTTCAACTCAAAAAAATAAAATGAAACAAAAGGTAGTGTACAATTCAAGGTTAGGCCATAGGTGGTCATTGTACATGTAAAGCTTGAGAATCCTTATTGATGTTATGTCCCCCACCATGGCAGTGTCCCAGTACTGCCAATCACTTTCTAATAGAATTTTGATAATCGTTCAGGGTCCACTGAGTACATGTAGTACTCAGATCTTTGTTTATGTAATAAAACACTTGAGTATATATATATATTTTTAGTTGGAATCTCACTCTGTCACATAATGTATTTTATTCTATTTTTTTTTTGAGTTGGAGTCTCACTCTGTCACCCAGAGTGGAGTGCAGTAGCCGCTCCTGGCCACCACAGCCTTGATCTGTTGGGCTCCGGTGATCCTTCCACTTCATCCTTCAAAATTCCTGGAACTACAGGCGTGCCATACCACGCCCAGCTGATTTTTGATTTATTGTAGAGATGAGGTCTCGTCAAGTTGCCCAGGTCGGTCTCAAACCCAAGGGCTCAGGCAATCCCCTCACCTCAGGCTCCCAAAGAGCGGGATTACAGGCTGAGCCACTGAGATCGGCTCACATAATGTATTAATCAAAGATTTTGTGGCCACCTCCTGTGTTATGTGAACTAAAGACATGTGCTACCACACCTGTCTAATTTTTTATTTATTGTAGGGACGAGGTCTCACCAAATTGCCTGGGCTCACCTCAAATGCACAGGTTCATGCAATCCTCTTGCCTTGGCCTCCCAAAGTGCTGGGATTGCAGCTTGAGTTATGGAGCCTGGCTTTTATTTTTTTTTAGTAGGAGTTTCACTGTTTCCCCTGGCTGTAGAGCAATGGCACACTCATGGCCACCACCGCCTCAACCTACTCATGAACCTACCACTTCTGCCTCCCAAGTAGCTGGAACCACAAGTGTGCACCACCATGCCTGGCTAATTTTT